TCCCAGCAAAGGGGTTACTCTCAGTCGCAGCCTGCGCAGTCCAAGTACCCCCCAAACTATTAGCTGTGAAAGACCGAAAATACCTCCCATTCGCACCGATCGCCTCAACGATCATAAGGTACTTATTCTGGCCCTCGACAGTGTAAACCTGCACCGCCTCGAAGAGACTATACTGGCTATCACTTAGGACGACTTCATATTCTGTACCAAAACTCCCAGGAAAGTTGGCGATTGGCATGCTGGCTCGGTAAATCTTGCCGTTGTCGCCAGCGAAGAACAGGTACATGTTATTGCTATCGCCGATAACGGTTTGGTCGATGACGCCTGTACTAGAGCCGGAGATTGTTCCAGAGAAGAGAGGTTGGGGCGAGGACCAGCCGTTGGCGTTTGTGGGGTCACTGGATGTCTTGTAGGAGAAGGATGTCGGACCCCATTGGTAGGCTAAGATCCAGATATTTTTGGGCCGGAAGTAGAAGAGTGTTGGGGCGACGGTCCCTGAGCTCATGGTGTTTTGGCTTGCTGAGGCCATGTCGGACCAGTTGGTGAAGGGGTAGAAGCTCATCGAGCCATAGTTTCCGGATGTATCTGTTGTTGAGGCGTAGACGAGGTGCTGGCCGTTGTAGACGACGTTGGTGAAGTCTTTGAGGGCGGTCCAGCCGGACTTGGGTTGGGCGAGGGCGGCGGTTGATGTCCAACTGTAGGTGGATGGGAGGGAACAAGAAGCCAGAGTACCTGGTGTTGAGAGGAGGAGGAGGATACCACTCGACCATGCGAGGCTTGCGATGGACTTTGGAGGTGTCATTTTAGAATCTTGTCCTCGGGAGGGGGGTTGGAAGGAATGGACGTGCAAGTTGTAAGATAGGAAGTTCAGACAAATAATGTGGGGATATTTATACCCTTGCAGGTGTCTACAGCAGGTTTCTGCAGAAGCAATATGAAAATGGCTAAATGCGAGACAAAACAGTTGTGAAAGCCACCTCATAATTGTATAATGTGACCATATCCATTCTGCGGAGAAACCTGTGGGGAAGAACCCCCTGACAGATCGGAGTTTTGCCATTCTCATCACGCATAATGCACTGCAACAGAGAAGGAATCTGATCCAGCAATCAATCTATAACAATGTCTTAGTTGACAGGTTGATTACCTGTGCTGCTCTGATCACCAATCTCTGTATTTTCAATGGGAATTGGACTAAGAAATACCATGCGGGATATGATATCGGTAGTAAATAAGCATTGGAGTGGAACATACTAAACCTAGTATAATAGCTGAAACCAAACTAACGCCCCTGTTGGCACCAAGTTCAACGCTATGGTAGATTCCATTGGCTGGCATGATATATATATGGATCTACTAAGAAACGAATTTACAATGTTTTGCAGTAATGGTGTATGGAGCAAGCAACGGTCTATGGCTCTAACCTTCCTGGGTTATCACCCCGTCTGACTTGCCAGGAAGCTTGACGAGTTGGTTGACTGGTTATTCGGTTACCTAGCTCTCATCACTGGCATTCAGACGTTCTCGACTTGGCTAGTCTCACCATAGTTTCACCCATCAGCCTACTCATTATCATCAACGCAGTCTGGAGTGCAAGCTTTGCCTATGGGTCAGTGATCAAAATGATCACCATGACTAGGATGCACATTTCCTGTTATTTAGGGTAGGTATAATTGATGACCTCATTTCTGGGATCGTTAATTTAGAAGTTGGATCAGGGAAAAAAAAATAAAGTCGAAAAATATATAAAGTAGCATTGCTCTAATCAAAGAAAAGGTGAAAGTATTTCTGGTCATCTTTCCTCAACATCATCATCCTTCCTTGCCCTAAATACAAAATTAATAGCATTTACTGAAAACCAAGCATCTATAAATATAAATCTACATTAACATATTCATACTATCACGGCCAGCTCTCCCATCTACACAGTCCAATGCCTTGAAACAGCTGAAGGTATCTACCAGACCCTACTCCTGGTAGCACCACTCATTCCTGTAACCCCCCATTATAACTTGTCCAAGTTGACTGCTCCCTCGTGGGCATACTGATCCTGAGCCACACGAAGAATTGTAACCCCTAACGCCTGACAAATCGCATAATGAGTTGAACCCGAGGGATCGAAACCACCACCAGACGGACCCTTGCAGCCACAGCCCTCCCAGACATACGGGAGCCCGAGTTCCTTTTCAGAGGCTTTTATGATAGCGGGGCCTTTGCCTGTTGACCCGCTGCCATCGCTGCTGTGCGCTATCACACTTATTGGTCACATAGCTGTTTGTTCCAGTTTTCGCATAGTAGTCAGCGACATGACAGCCGCCTGTGGTCTTGTCCCAGACTGAGTTGCCAAAGATGGATACGCCGTAGGTTTGGCATTTTAGTTTGACGTCGGTGGATTTGATGTAGGTTATTGACGACGGAGTAGCGTGTTCCTGCGCCTGAGCGGCAGTTGACGTCTGTGCCGGTTATGGGGTAGGTGAGGGTGCCTGGGAGGGCGACTGCGAGGATGGTGCTGAGAGGGAGGACTCATTTTGATCTAATTTGAATTGAAATCAATCATATTTAAAAGAAAAAAATTTATTTTTATTTTTATTTTTATTTATTTTTTTTTTTTTTGGCTTGGGCTGGTGTGAGTGATTTGAGTAGATGGATGATGAGTTGAATATCCTGTTGGGGTGGGAGGAACATTGTTGCTTTTCTAGACAACTTTTTATTCATAACCACTTTATAAGCACCGCTCTCGCTCAGCAGTGTCTTCTGTTTGAATTGATAATCCATATATGCAACTGACCGTTAGGGTGTACTCTGTAGGTGATTATGACTTGGCACGGCCCCCGGCGCGGAATCACATGATTATTTAAGGAGGAAAAATAGAAAAAATTGAATGAGTTTCCGCTCCTTCCTAATTCTTGCGGAAAATCATCCTACTATAGAGTAATAAGGAATCACTATCAGGGACCCCACTTCCGCGAAGATGATAACTTGCGCTAAAAAAGCGGCCATGTTAACAATGTTAATGAGACATACGCCTAATTTTGTCACCTGCGTATTTCGCCATCTCAGGCCCCTCAAGAGGATGAATAGGGTTACTTTCCAACTGGAACGGCTTGATATTGCCGGATGCTTGCTGGATCTGAATGTCGGTCTGTTGTTGCGAGCTGCGAGGTATTCTACCCCAGCAAAAAGGGATTTGCTGTTCAGCGGTCTGGCTTTCAGGAGCTGGCGATTCCCGGCCGGCTAATTGAGAACACAGTTTATTTTCCATTTTTTTCCTTCTTAAATTGGTACGAATGGTCGCTTGATCAAGTGATGGCTTTGTGGAAAGGACAGGGAAACAAGGAACAATAGGTTCTTGTTATCACCCTTTAGTGTTTTGTAGCCCTTACTGCAATTAGGTAGCTGTTTTATGGTTCTGAAGTGGAAGAAGTTAGTGTATATTGATTCGTAGAACTAAGATTTTGGAACTTCCTCTAATGGAAAGTAGAAAGGGATTATGGACAAGATAAAGCTTACATTGTAAGGGGTATATAGAGCAGCTTAGGAGCAACTGTGAGATCAAGGTAGCTCTGAGCCTCTGACCTTGCGATCATAGGTGCTCATATGTATCTTTCCTTCTGATATATACAGTCGACAGACCCCACATCTGCTGTGTAATATTCACCAATCCATGGAATTTCGATCATCATCATGACGTCTACATTTAATTATTAAGGAGGACTCACTGATGTGGCTAGACCGTCGGACTATTCAGACCCAAGAAATAAGAATGGGGTGTTAACCAGTCATTTTCCAGCCCAAACCGCAGTTTTTCTGCAAGGAAGTTTATCATCTAATCAGCCCATCCACATGTTTTAACAGCGACCATGCGGCACCTGACCATGAAAGTGTCCTTTTGAGGTTGAGATACAGAGACGCTGTCTTAGGATTTGGGCACTGAGGGATAGTTGAATAAAACATTGATTGGATTTAGCCACCACCATCCTACATGGCACCCAAACTCGGCTCCAAGACGGATCGAGTTTTCAAATAAGTATACGAAATTGAAACCATGTCATGATGGCAACTTCCCTTCATATAGCAATGTATATTCATCTCAAACATTGATGATAATGCAATGCATGGGTAACGTACCTTATATTAACTCACAAATATGCAGCTTTCTGACCAGCCAAGCCACATAAGTGCGGGGCGGATGTGGGTTCAGTCACAGTGGGATAACCATATAAAGTAGGATCACTTAAATGCTATTTTTCTGTATCATACCAGCTGCAGAAGTCTGATTTCCCAATTAACCTGGAGCACTAAAAGGTCTATCACCTTAGTTGATTAAGGTTTAATAAATAAGTTGCTAAGTATAGCCCATCTTATTTGGCTTGAACACCAAAACATTGTAGCCAAAAATATTGAAAAGAACATTGGTTCACAAGCGAATTTATGCGGCGAGTATAACATAAAGGGGCTCATCTATTTATCACAATTAGTTGGATACAATGGTCTTGGTGGTTATGTTGATGCCGGTATTGGGGATGAGGTCCAGGAATCTGGGGAAGCCGTACTCCTCACAGATTCTCACAAAAAACATTAGCTGTCTCATGAAATGCAGGGTCCATATCTGCAGAGTAGGAACAGTGCCTGGTGAAGACAAAGTCACCAGGTGGGCCCTGTAGTAATAAGGATGAAGCAGCACGTTTGAGGCTTAAGCTTCATGATTAGCTCTTGAGTTCGACGCCACTGTGCGGGCAGATCTTAAAAGGTGGTGCATCCATCTTGCCGCGGTTGTGTAGGCAAGTTTTTTGACACTGGAAGCCGCATTCTCCCTCTGCCACTCCACCAGTCTGTGCTTGTTTGCATGATAGGACGCCTTTGTTCTGCTAGAAGTTGCGATGATATGGGTAGATTGAGGTCTGCGGCGCGCTGCTCATAGCCGACTGTGTATTGACTTCCAGCACCATGCATGCGTTGCTGCCGGGCGCGTCGAAGTTAAGAAGAATCCGTCTCGGCTTATGTGTCTTGCTAAAAGCCCTGGCCTCCGAAAGGCCCTCAATGTCGAGGTCTTGGAGCGATGGAAATCTGGGGTGGAGAGTATAGGATATGCCTACTTGTGGTGGGATGATGTCCTTCTGAGAAATCGTGATACACTTGAACCATTCTGCCATACGAGCAGCCCAGGGGCTCCGATGTGGCCAAAGTTTGCGCTGACACCTCCCACCATGAATGGGATCACCGTGAAACGGCTGGCAGTTGCCCGTATTGGGCAACAAGCCAGATCTGCTGAGATAAATGAATAACTGGGCATAGCTCAGGATATTGGCCGCCTGCAAAGGCCATGTCGACTTCCTTTGACAGCAGAGTCATATAGGCCAAATGCATCGCCGCGGTGGTGGACGAGCATACAGAGTCTAACTAGTAGGCCAGACCCTCCCACTTGAAGTGCCAGGGGAGGTATTCAGGCCCAAGCGCATGCTGAAGTCCCTGCAAAGTATGCATTGCATCCAAGTGTCGGGTGACCCGTGCCATGCCGGTTGCTGGTGAGCGAACCAAAGAGTGCAGCGATGCGGTGGGGACCTGTCATTTCTGTCTGTCCATCTGGGTAGCCGGCTATTTTGAGCGCCTCATAGGTGCATGTCAAAGACTGTCAGTGACCGGGGTTCATCAACATTGCTCCTCTAGGCGAGGCGCAAAAGAACCTAAGAATGAAAATTCCCTGGCTTGATCATAAAACAACCGTACCTAGTTGTCATGGTGAATCTTTTGTCACGATGGCCAGACATTGAAGCGACATTTAGGGGCGTCCTGGTAGATATAGTGAGATCCCAAACTTTGTTGAAGTGCCAGCTGCTAGGCCACATTCAGCCTTTCCCAAGCTTGGGGAGATGGTACCGTCAGGATCATTTAACTGGGGTCTACCGGCTACGCACGCTACCTGGCCAGTGTCTTGAAGGCACGGGTATGGGCTTATCGCCAGGTCAAGATCAAAAGTCTTTTTGACATGCAGAGGATGGGGAGCCACCGTCACCACTGGCTGAAAGTATTCCTCGTGGCGTTGATCTTGCCCACGGCCTGAATAATGTCCAAAGGACGGGAGAAGACTTGCGAGCATGCAGCTCTAAGCAGGTCCCACCAGTTGGCATATATGGCTTTAGAATCGTCCATACACCAGAGACCGACAACTAAGCGGTCTACCAAAGAAGACCAAGCTGTCCTCCACAATGTATCCAATTTCCTTCTGAGAGGCGCTGAGGGTGTGCTTCAGAGCCTTCATTTCCAGCGGGTTTGTCGTATGACCCCTCACAGCGGGTATTGATAAATCGTTGTAAAACTGACAGAGTGCTTTGGTGGACTGGAATAGCCCGTCCAGCCTTGCTCACTTGTAGTCCTAGGTGTAGCCACTGAACTCTCACCCCTGCGAGTTCGGGCTGGTTGGTCCCGGTTTCTGCGGGTTGCTTATGCCACTCTAAGAGAGTGTCTCCATTATTCTCATCCAATTCTGTTCATGCTTGATATATAGCCTCAAGGTCCAGGCGAAAATAGGGGTCCTGGGGGGACTAAACCGAACGTGGATGGTGTAATCCGTATTGGGGATGAGTCAACCGAGGACTGAGGTTCTCTGAGACACAAATATCACAGAAGTTGATTCTCACTCATTCACCAGTCTTTGTGAATCCAATGTCATTCTGGAAGACGAACACTGAAATGGGGGATATGCAATGAAAATACCCAACCTGGCACGGCTACTTTGAATTCATCACCACTGTGTCCCCTCCAACAGAGAGTGTCAACTTCTTCAGTGCTCAGCCATGCACCCGTCCTTACCTCCATGACATAAGCGCCTACCAACCCATTCCATTCTTCTCTCGGTACGACAAGGGCGATACATCGGACACCTTCTTTAATGAGACTCTACGTACCGCAAGAACCATTCCCCACGCCCTTGCAGTTGCGCGGAAGGAGGTCTTGAATTTGCGTGACAAAGCCGCCGATGAATGGTTGACTGGGAGCGCTGGCCAGCCAGATTACGTGCTCTTGGTGCAGTTTGCGTCCGGGCTGAATGGATATAGGGATACTGTGCACAGTGGCGTGCTGGCCTCGCTTCTGGACGAAGCTCTGGGATGCTGTGTGGAGGGATTCCGTCAACAGCTGAAAGCAGGGGAACGGACGGCTCTGTACACTGCCAACTTGAATGTATCCTATCGCGCGCCCGTGGCATCCCCAGGTGTGTATGTGATCAAGGCCTGGCTCGCGCGACGGGATGGGCGAAAGTGGTTCCTTGAGGCGCAGGTTGTTGGGGGGGGATGGAAGAGTTCGGGCGGACGTGAAGTCGCTTTGGATTAGTGAGAGACCTCGGGCAGCATTGTGAGCTGTATTGTGCATTCAAGGTCTGGATAGCTCAGGACCTGTATAGCGAGTAAAATACGCATACATTGAAGCATACGTGCTGACAATGAACCAACTCAAATCATTTGTTGGGCGAAACCGACAATCCGGGTCCCGATCGAGTCAGAAGTTGTCTAAGGTTTCTTTTTTCCCTTTTTTTTTTTTTCTTTTTCCCCTATTATCCATGTTGCGACATCACTTACAAGCCACGCAACTTTGGATGCGCACACTCGGCCTGGTAGACCGACACAGATTTACTCATCACACCCACAGCCCAGCCAGCAACAATTCATCCGACTAGAATCATCGCCAAATCCTGTGCTACGCATTGCAACAACAGCACCAACAAGTGAGAGGAAAGCGCCGATCCGGAGAGTGTTCTTGCGACAGCCAATCTATAGTCAAACCGACCATGAGGGCTCCGAGGGCGGCGAATCAAGGGTTAAAGAAAAGGATCAGTATACAGCTTCTCTTGGGGCAAAAGGGGGGTGATTCAACAACCTACCGCCGCCGGAAAAAGTGCTGTTGATAGCACCAATAATTGAGGAAGTCTTGGTTGTATTGAAGAATTTCAGAAAATTCGGAGACGCAGTCACATCCGTCATGACACCTGAGTCATAACTAAACAGGAAACTTCCCGTGGCGGGTAACCCCAACCCATTTTGCGTGTGGTATTCCCAAAGCCTGCAAAGTTTAGCCTGCACTCATATCAAATCTGAGACATAGGGGAAAGAGAGACCTATTCATTAGGCCACAGCGTTCTACCCCGATTTCCAACAAGAACTGGTTGAAAGTGAATCGACTATGATAGAAGCCAGCCACTCGAGATTGGCGATGACTAAGAGCTTAGCAAGGGCTGTCTAATGATATGTGGCCCATACGGAACTTGACTAGAACAGATTGCTCGAAACTACAATGGGGTATCCCTCCATAATCTCCCCACCGGGATCCGGGTGGGGGGTTGTATTCCGGATAAATTTGACCTCGTATGTATCCATATGGAGGTACGTCCATTGCCCCTACTAGGTATAGTTTGCTTTTTGGACAAACTCTGTTTGGTGAATTCATCCTGCTGCATTTAGAGCTTTTGATTTGCAAAGCTACCTGTTTTGAATCTTAAGAGAATCCCTTAATTAGTGTGAATATTTTCCTACAGTTACTGAAGGCAAGAGTCTTTATTGTATTAACAACTCACACAGCTAGAAATATTCATGTTGAAGTAAGTTAATCAAATCAAGCTATAGTTAATGAGATTGAATTAGTGAATGTCTAGGACAGTAGGTCCAGGACTATAACCAACATGGGATGCATGTTGTTGTTCAATCCTGTGCTCGGGCTGCTATGGTTCTATAAACCTGGGATGACGGAGGTGGGATTTGACATATCTGGTGGTGATAGTGGGGAAGAGATAAACTCCGCATTTAAGAGACTACCCGCAGTAAACTATGCCATATTTGTAAGTTGGAGATGCTTATTTTGCTAAATGCTTTCTGAATAGTGTCTGGGGCATCCATTAATATCGCATCAAGTTTAACGCGACGGCGTGTAGGTATCCAAAGACAACCTTCGGAGCTTTCGGAGCGTTCCGCGCAATGTCCCTGCTGCAAAGTTCATGACTGAGCCACGTGGTAAAGCAGCCAGACAAAACGAGTCCGTCGGGAGCTTGGGCAGCGGTATTTGGCCGTCATAGATAAGGACAACATAAGCTTAGGAAGAGATATGTAGAGTATTTCACTGATCAGTAGATTCGTTCAAAGTCGTCACCAAGCTCCTTGACGCATTAGAGAGACATTGGAAACACCTTTTAAAGCACCGCATCTCTGGAGTCTAAATCTAGTAGTAAGTTACGTCCCATTAACCGTCGGGATATATTGAGCGCCATATGAACCAAACGAACAGTTGCTTCTATTCACTTTGGAGCAGCTGTATACTTTGGCCGGGCGAGCGGAAACGCTGTCTCCTGTGGAGATGTTTCAGCTGGGGTTGGCGCCATATTTTAATTTGAACACGAGGTCTGACAATCTCTTCACGTACGTGTAGATTATCAGAAGACCTTCGACAGATGTAGATCATATCAGAACCTGCGGTTAAAGTCATCAGCGGAGTGGCACCGCGTCCGCTGAGTAGCCAGTTAATTTCTGACATGGAGGTCTTCGATTAACCCAGCGGGCTATTGTCAGAGGAATACCCTGCCAGGTCCACATAACCCATTTTACCTGGAAGCACTGGCTGGCTTCAGTGGGCAGCTTGATGAGCATAAATACACACTCTTCGACCCATATCTTGAACTAATTGACATGCAAGTCTCGCAAACAACCAAAGAACGACGTGCTTGCATTCAGAATGAAGTGGCTTCCTTGTTTTGTTTCTGCCTCTTTCGTCCTTTTGAGTGGACTTGGCTACTCTGTCAATGGTGCTGATTCAGACACTTATTACTTTAAGCACTTCAGTACTTCTGGCAGTATTAGTCCATGGTATAGTAACGATAATTCTTGGGGTGTGGACGCTCCAGGGGGTAGTGGATTTGTTGTGATGGTTACTGGCGAAGACTGGGGCACTTGGTCCCCAGTTCATACTCTGCCTAAGAAGATCAAGGATCTTAACCCGGGTCATAAAACCTGGTTCAGTCAGACTGCTCAACCTGCGGCAGGCAAAGGATACGATGCTTGGTAAGTCCCTATACTCTTTAGTACCATTTGACTTCAGTTTGCGAACTCACTTGTATTACCGGACTAGCTACGACATTTTCATTGATCCAACCTACGCTCCCACTAATCGTAACGGTAAATACGAGGTGATGATCTGGGTTGGACATCAGGCTCCTAACACTCCTCTCTCTGACCACTACAACTCAAATGGTGCAGTGCCTTGGGCACGGAATGTGAGTATTGGAGGCAAACCGTGGGATGTTTACTTGTATCAGTAAGTTATACTTCAGTCGCATATCTGAAATCAACCCGCTAACCCATATTTACAGTTGGCCCACCGGTGATTTAACCATGTCATACGTCGACCCGAGTAACTCGGGTTGGTTCTCGGGTAGTTTGACGCCATTCTTCGAGCATGGTATTGCCAATGGCTGGTATAGCTCGGAAGATTACTTGACTAGTGTTATGGCAGGGTGGGAATTTGGCCCTGGAAAGTATACGGCTAGTTCATGGGGAGCAGTTGGATTCTGATCAAAGAACACAGAGGTTGTGGGAGCAAGTGGGGTTCCCATTTGCTAGCTAAGGTATCTACTCAACTTTGTGGGTGTTGTTGTTTTGGGATCGAATGATTTAACAGCAAGGCGAGAGCACATAACTATCATTGGCAGAGATGATGCACATGCTCTTCACAAGCAAAGCGACTTTTATCTTTGACTACCTAGAATATACAGGTAGACTAGCTACATTATCCTTCTTGCCTACCTACCTTCCAATCCAAGGGCACACGCTCACCTAAGGGACATACAGATTAATTGGCTACGGTTCCTTGCATGCCCCCGACACAAATGCGCTACAATGGTATTTCCGTTGGCCTTCCAAGGACTACCCGCGATCCTCCTCTTTTTCGGCTTGTTTCGGATGCCCGAGTCACCTCGCCACCTTGTCGAGAAGGGAAAGATGATGTAGCCCATGAAAGTGCTGCGACGCCCCCACTACAACGGCTCCAACGATGGGTGGATAGCCAGCGAATTTATAGAGATCAAGCTACCATCAGCGCGGAGAGGGAGATCACTGCCTCGGGCTGGCTCATTATACTCAAGGTGCCCCAGTGGCGGACGCGACTGCTTCTAGGTACCGCGATGCAGGTGTTTATCCAAATAACAGGTATCAACGTAATCGGCCATTATGAGAACATCATGTACGAAACACTGGGAATCGAGGGCAACCGCGCCACTCTTGTGAGTGGGATTTATAACGTAGTTGGTCAGCTGGCGAATCTCCTGTTTATTATCTTTTTATCGATTATGTTGGCAGACGCAGGCCACTGCTCTTTGACGCTGCGGGTATCACCCTTGTTTTGGGTTGTGAGGATGCCCTAAGGTCGCAAAACCTTGACGAGACTAAAAAGGGATACAGCATTGGTGGTGTCTTCTTCCTATTTTGTGTTTCTGTCGTATTTTCCGTCTCATTGGGTTTACATGTCGGAAATCATGCCAATGCAAATCCGGGGTAAAGGTAATTAATGCGTTTGCCACCGGTGTCGGGAACTGGATGGTTAGTACCTTGTCGAGCCAGGTTTCTCCTATCGCGCTACACAAGTTAGGCTGGAATTCTACTTTATTTTTTCGTTGCATAGAGGGAGTAAGGGAGCCATCATAGTGCAATCCTAGTTACTGATCCTTACTAATGCCTGATAGATGTGTGCGTAACCATCCCGACAATTTATCTCTTCTCCAACGAAACCAAGCAACAGTGGCTCGAGGAGATCGATCTTCTCTTCTGGGACCGTGCCTAGGAATGCTTGATGACGACCTGGAAGCCAAGAGGGTGGAAATGGTGAACTTGCGCGGAGGGGCAACCCAGATTGAGACTGTTGGTTGCATAGAGTTGATAAAGGTTTCACTATTTCACATCAGGACTCCCCCATATAAATAGCCACTTTCCTCGTACATAATCTAGCCTTGGTAATTGATATGACGTCTACCTTTGCCGTCTTCCACATATGGGATTGGAAAAACAACAACTTCAACGCAGAATAAATTTTTGAAATTTCTTGCCCAAATTAATGTCTTTTAACCCTAAAATTTGCCTAATTTCTCGTGATGACAACTGCCTTTAATTAATCCTAATTTTATAGGGTCTTAATTACTATATTATTATTAAAGCTAGGGTGGCCGCCCCTAACAGCCTCTTATAGTAGTAAAAAGAGGCTATAAAAAACTCTATATAATTATATCCTAGACCTTCACCATAATATAAGCATCTATTTAAACTATCTAAAGATTTATAATTAAGGAATCCTAAAGCCTC